TAGCTGGTTATCCGGGTCAACATATAGGATACTTTTTACTGCGGGCAAATATCTCATTTCTGAGAAAAAATACAATAATTGTAATGTAAGAGTATACTAATATGTAAAACTTAAGAATTTGGTTTCTGGTCATCTGAACGCGGGCGGAGCCGCGGGCAATGAAAAATAAATACGTTGATAAAAATAATAATAATAAAAAATAATAATAAAAAAATACGTTAATTAGATAGAGAACAATGCTGTTATCTAAGTTCAAATTCAAAATATTTTATTCAGCATTAAATTATAACAATTTTTTAAAACGTATTTTTTTAAACGTTTTAAAATGATATATAATATAATGAGTCTCTACTACCAATTCGAAAAGAAGAAGCCTCAGACCTAAGAACTGACGAAAGCAACTCAGCGGGACTAAAATTATTATACTTATACCCACTTTATCTTTTTTGTTATCTTTTTCTCTCTGCTCTAAAGGATGTAACTTGAAACTATGAAAAGGATATAATTTGAAACTACATTTTAAACTAAATATCCTAACTAGATGTATGTGTTATATAGAAAAAGTTTTTTTTGTTAGTTTATCCTTCCTTGACGAAAAAGAACGTGTTGACGATATTTTTTTATAGAGGTAGTATATGGATTAAAGAGTGTCATTGGTTACTGTTTGTTCCAATACACCTTTAGGTTATTACTATATTTTTGTTTCTAAAGTTTTAAAATTCTTCTTTCTTTTTTTTTAAAGAGGGATTTTTTTATTTTATATAAATATATCAATTAAAAAAATCCACTCACCTCTAAAGGTAGAATACATATTTTTTATACACAAAAGTGGTTTTGTAAAAAAAATATATAAAAGCAGTCATGAGGACTGCCGACAGAAGTGAAAACTTGAAACTATAAGCAAACAGTTATTATTTTTGGATATTCAAATTAATTGTTTGATCTTAATTAAAATTTGTAAATTAAAACTGTTTACATTTATCTGGTTTTGACATCTATCGGCACTCTGAGTGTTAGCGTTAACACGTCACGTGACCATGTCGATGACGACTTACGTGACTTTACTCATCATCCAAACCTGTCTATGGAATTTTCACTTCAGAAGTAATTTTTAAAGCTTAAAGCTTAACGGGATTTATCTTTTTTATTATATAGCTAGTAAGTAGGTGGCAGAATGCCAACCGTCATGATTCTTCTTTAAGAATCCTTCTGAACACTATTTATGAGAGACTCAAAATGGTAAAAGAAAATCGAAGAAACGCTTTACCTTGTATTATTTTTTATTATGTATTTAAAAGAAAAATAATTATATTTAAATTTTTATCGTTTAAAACAATTGTTTTATATTTTTTGCCAATTTTAACTTTTTATCATCTTTATGTACGTTCCGTTGTGGAAAGGTGTTAATTATAGATTGTGTTACTTTTTAACTGATTTTTTTATGACAATAAATATTTTTTAACTAAAATTATAAACTACACTAGCGGCTCACTTCGCTTCGCTCGGGATCGTCCCTAGGTACGTTTTAACAGTAAGTATGGAATAGATAGACTATATATTATATGCCTATAGCCTTTCTCAATAAACGGGCTATCTAATGTAAAAAGAATTTTTAATAGGATTTGTAGTTTCTGAGATAAATGCGTTCAAACAAACAAACTCTGCCTCTTTATAATTTTGAGTATAGATTATAAAAAACTACCTATATATTATGTTTACATATGGCTTATAACAGCTTAACACTTTAAAGCTATTCGCAAATTCCATACAATTCAACGTGGTAATTACCGGTCATTAACCCTCCCGGCCGATCTCGGACCGTACGCGCCTTGTTCATCACACATTGCTATCTAATGTTTTGTTGAACTTTGATTTACTGACGGGCATCGTATGGGGGATCTGTAGCTGTAGCATCTGATAAAAATTCATTTGGAATAAATGAAAATTTCTGTCTGTCTGTTAATTTTTAGGGTTTTGTGGCAAAAATCCGAATTTTGTCCTGTCTGTGCGTATTTCACAGCTGTTGTCCTTGGATACTAAGTTCAACTTCAGTATCATTTTATTAAAAAAATGCGACTCAATTTCGCTTCGCTCGAGTTCGTCCCTAGGTTGATTCCCCATAAAAACTTTAATTCCCATTTTCACCCTCTTAAGGGATGATTTTCGGGTTAAAACTATCCTATATCCTTCCCAGGGTCTTGAAACTATCTTTTTACCAAATTTCATCTAAATCGGTTCAGTAGTTTCGGAGCCTATTCGGTACAAACAAACAAAAAAAATCAAATCTTTCCTCTTTATAATATTGGTATAGATTGTTGCGCTACTGTAACCAATAGGTGATAAAATTAACATAGAAAAATGTTACATTGTCATTTTTTACATGGTCTATTTCGCTTTTGAACACGTATTCTAGCATGAAATCAATTAGTGGGAGATACCGATCTATATATGGTGGACCCCTCTTTTTTTTCAAGACAAAGTATATTTTTTAAATGTGAAATGTGTTTGTTTATATGTTTTATGGCTTAAAAAATATATTTCATCTGGAAAAAGAATAAGGGGTCCACACCACATAGATCGAGATCTTAGACTTAATGATTTACATTTATTTGCATCATATGTTAAAAAATGTATGTAAAAAGCAGTCATGAGTACTGCCGACAGAAGTGAAAACTTAAAACTATAAGCAAACAGTTGTTATTTTTGGATATTCAAATTAATTGTTTGATCTTAAATTAAAAAACTATTTAACATTTATCTGCTTTTGACATCTATCGGCGCTCTTAAGTGTTAGCGTTAACACGTCACGTGACCATGTCGATGACGACTTACATGAATTCACTCCCCATCCAAACCTGCCTATAGAAGTTTTCACTTTAAAAAAAACAAGATTATAGAACAAGACTATGCAACCAAAATTAAATGATATATATTATATACCTATACTAATGTATAATAACTACGTAGAAAATTGTGCAAATCGTTTAACTATATAATATTTGTCATTTCTTTACTCGTATAGAAAGTCCTCGTATCTTAAAGATTGATGAAAGAACTTAAAGTTGCGCCCCGTCAGTGCTGGCGGTAATTGCTTGGCCATTAGCCCGCCCCGGGGGCTCCCGGGATGCGGGATAGCGCTCATCGCTTGCTACTGATATGTTACGGTAGTTGTAGGTATTTTTGTTTTAATCTAGTGTGTTATTTTAAGCTTTTTGTTATTTCTTTTGACTATTAAGTACTTATTATTTCTGACATATTTAAATAATAGAATTATTGTAAGGGGAAGGCTTTTGATTATAATTTATCTCGAAATTTCCCATGCATAGTGGAAAGTAATAAGAGGAACGGTGTTAACATAATGATGTGCAATACCGCCAATACGTACATTTCCTTCATACGGGAATCGAATCTCCATCCTATAGCGAACAGGTAATATAAATTCATTCACTGCCCTTGTGCCTACATAAACGTTATAACATGCACTTAGCATCTTGGCGTACAAAAACTTAATTGACAATAATATTATGTAGCTGTTCGCATATTTAGTGCTTATTTTATATATTTTTTGTGTTACATAATTTTCTCAGGAAATAAGAAGTCCCATCAGTTTTGCCTGCTGACCTGTGGCCGTTATCCGGGATACGTCCCGGGATAGCTTATATATATACTTAGCTATACATGTCTTTACGGTTATCAAAGTACTATTAGAGGCAAGCTAGAGAACGAACCCGAGCGAAGCGAGGATGAAACGCTAGTATGTGCCTAAGTAGACATTAGTTACTATTCTATATCGATGAGACTTCATACATTTATAAACCAAAGTTATTACTTTAAATAGACTAAAAAAGAAATTTTAAACCACAACAACCGTGTGTTTCAGTATTTGTATAACGAGCAAAATTTAAATAAAATCCGTAACAAAACAGCAATTTATAATTAAGTGGTCCAACCAGGTGATCCCGCAATCATATCCTAATCCCGGATCCCGGGCCGGTGGTAATGTAGGTAATTTATGACGCTAATTGCGATGCGCCGTGTTGCAAATCGTTTTTAGTGCCTTACGTATTTTAAAATTTGACTCTCTGGGTCTTAAAATTGAACGCCCCCTTATGTTGTGTGAAACTAAAAAATACCGTTTATCAAAATGAAGGCCATATAAATCATTAACGTTTTTTCTCACTTCATACAAATTCGTTTGCAAAATCCTCACTAACGTAATCTTAAAACAAATATCTATATAAATTAAGAAGACTTTCGGGTAGAGTCGCCCCTTGTAGTATGCCGCCCTGGCCCATGAACCCCACTACAGTAGGGTAAAAATGCCACTGACCGTTACGACAGTGCGGGATGCGTTTTATTTATAGTATTTCTACCATCACCGATACAAACAAACGTGATCGAAGTATTTGTAACTTTTAAGTAATTTTATTATTATGTTAGTATTTTTTATTATTATGTAAGATGTATGAAAGATATTATATATAAGGCATGCAAAGGCGGTTTGTTGCTAAAACCTTAAAGCATTCTCTACCAGACAATCTTTGGTGTACACTGTTATGTGTATTATAAATAGATTTATGTACCTATAACATTTTTTGAATAATTGTTGAAAACTGTTGTCAAAAATATAGTAAAATGAAAAAAAAAAATTGGAATTTTTTATGTATTTATATCATTTATATTTTTATGTTTTAAATAATATATATTGATAATAGATTTTACGATCTATATTATTTTTAACTTATTAATACAAGTTTACTAATTTAATACAAGTCTAATTTTTAATATGTACAAGTTTTTATGTGGACATCTATTGAGAGAAAAGGAAATTAATTTGTTAAGGTTCATACACGAGTCTTCGTGATGTAGTTTAGCTATTGCACACTAGATGGCTCTACAATGAACTACATTACTACATATATTATCTCGATTTGTTTTCTTAAACGGTTTTTTATTATTTAATAATATATTGATTATAGATTATTATTGAGCTAGTATAAATGAGTGTTTTTTTTTTGTTACAGAATGCACCAAATCAGGAGCCAGTATATAGAAAAGTAGCAGTTGTTGAAAATTTCTTCGATATAATCTACACAGTTCACGTAGAGTTGGAAGGAAGACCGGGCAAGCACGCGGGACAGAAACGTACTTATAGAACTGTAAGTACCTAATATGATATCGTATATAGCTTATATTTCTACTTACTCATTATTATTATTTTTTAGAAATTCAGAATCTAAATTGACTTTAACGCCATCTAGAGAAATATTTCGATATTATCGCGGAAAAGGCGCCATTATTAAAGTATTTAAATAAAACATTCGCCAATAGATGGCGGTAAGCTTCGCCTATGATTTGAGATTTCGTGTCCTTTTATAAAAAAAAGTTAAATTCCATTACAATAATAATTGAAAAGTAATACTGTTAAAAATGTATAACATTACATACTAATTACTTTATTTAATTACTTAAATGAAATTAAGGCAATGTTTTTTAAAATTAGTATTGTACAAATTATTGCACATCATATTTTTTTGCCCGTGTATTTGATAGGGCTTATTAAAAAAACAATGCCTTGTCTTTATTATACAGGTGTAAAATCACACCACTCTGGTGTGATTTTTACGTTTCAAGAAAGTCATACAGTATTGAGCTTTTAAAAAAATCCTTAAAGTTATGCATTTAAGACTTTAAAAAATCATTATTAAAGGTATTAAATACACTATTATTATTGATAAGTTATGAATCATACATATTTGGTTATGAATCAAACCAAGAAGCTTAGAGAAGATGTCATTCTTTAATTATTGAAGAATAGGAATTAAAAAAAAATTGTTACCAATTCTATGATATATATAATAATTATAAGTCATTTTAATACAATTCTTAATTTTTTTATTCTAAAACGACTGTGATTGTCTGTCTTACTTAATTTTACTAGGTATTTATATAAAACATCATATAAAACCCAACAACATTAAAAAAAACATATCTAAATAAATCTTACTTGTCCACAGATAACGGAAACCTACGCATTCCTCCCTCGAGAAGCAGTCACGCGTTTCCTTACCGGATGTGCTGAATGTGCTCGGCGCCCGCGCAGTGCTTCACCCCCTCCCCTACCCACCCCATCCCCCTCTCCCACCAGACACCCTACTTACCTCCCTTTTCTCCCTCACTGCCAACCAGAATACACTAGAAACTGGGAATCAGAAATAGATGCAGCGCAAAACTACGCTTTCGAACCTAAATATGACTACACAGATCTCCAACCGCTTAAAAAAGTTGATAGTCCTAAGCCGCCTGAGGAAGAAGAACCTACATACATTGAACTAACTACTAAGAAAACCAATGGCTTCGATACTCCTATTTTTAACACTGAGCCCTTCAGAGAAGAGCAGCCAGTGCGAACTGATCCAGAGATCGATAAAGATGACAGTGTAATTGACGTTGAAGACGTCCAACCTGACAGTCCACCACCTTTGGTACCAAAAGAAGAAATTCAAGAAGAATCCAATGAAAATATCAAAACAGAAGAAGAAAATGATAAAACTGATAGGAAAGAGAAGAAATATAATCCACTAGATGTCGTTAACCTAACATCGAAAGATCCCCCAAAATCAAGGTCTCCTCCGCGTAAAAAATTGCTTCCCTCGAGTATCGAGTATCCACATTCATACAGCAGATTTCCAAGACCGTGGAGGCCAGATGGCGGTGTTTTCTACGGCGATGACGTGGACTACAGCGTGCCGATCACTACTGCGTATTTGAAGCATATGAGAAGCATGGGGTGTCACGATCGCATGGACTTGGACAATAAGGTAGGATTTACCTTTTAAAATTTAAAGTAGTCATCTATCCAAGCAAAGCATTCTTATGTCTAGAAAATATTATAAATTCTTTCAGTCTTCTGGTCCCAATAATCCATTTTCTAATTATTGTTACGTGATTTCTTTTAAGAACAATGAACTAAATTACATTTACCAAATATACGAGTACAATAGGTATAAAAAAACCTGGCTAAATATTAGTAAAATCAAGATTTGTTTCTAAATCCTACATAAATGTTTAATTTAACATTAAATTATTCTAATACGAGATCAAAAACCTCTAAAATTCCACAATAACAACATAATATAAACAAAATTCAATAACACGAAACATCTTTCAGTGGAAACCACAAACGTATTTTTCCATACAAATATTTAGAAACATGCGAAATCGCGGGCGGGTTTTAACCCTAGGTTAAACTTTGTGAACTAGCTAAACCCGGTCTGTACCACAAACGCGCCTTTGTATAACTCGTGCCCCTTGTTATGATTTCGAAACTCTCTTCAATATGTATCCATTGTAAAGTATACAGCTTTAATATTATGTTATGTAACGAACAGTCGTCCGTATAATATGTAATTATATAATTCAGCCCTTTTAACGTCCCACTATAGCGGCTAGTGCAACTCGCTGGCAAAGTATTGTTTGGTGTACTCTCGTATCTTTCCAAAAATCAAAATATACATTCAAATAGACTTTTACAAGCACTGTAGTCAGTCCGTGAGGAAGCTACCACCGGAAGCCAGTTCTGCTGAGAAGAACCGGCGAGAAACTCAACAGTTGCTCTTTTAAATATATTATATAATTATAATTTATAATATAACAATACAATAATGCTATACTAATATTTTCGAAAAGAAGCTAGTTTTTCCCAACCATCCAGGTTTCTTTACGATGTTTTCCTTAATAGTACGTATCTATGACTATATCAATACTTTACGCGAATATTTAACATTTTAAATGAAACTATCTTTTCGGATTTTAGCGCGGTTTATTTCATATTTAAGTAAGTGGTAACGGGAGAGACTAAGGTTTTAGACGTCTCAAAATTTAATATATAGTCCCGTGACTATGTTTGCTGTAAAACATTAGAAACATCGGGAACAAATATAAAATTTGGGTTTGTTATTATTGGAACAAATATTTATTAGCATTAAAATAATAATAGAGTAACTTGCAATAATAAAAATTTGCTGAAGCAAAAGTTTACTTCGATGTAAATGTTGTAAAACATCTAAAATACTTTTTAATTAGCGCACTAATGAGACTATCATTGGTGCTTAAACGTCGTATTAAGCTTTCCTTTTATTTGGAGAAAGCTTTTTTCTTATTCTCAAACTAACAAAATATACCATTGTTGAAAAACAATATGGATTACGAAGATATTCGAAAAATATTGGTGACGTTTCCCAAGAAATGTGATACACAGTAAATACTAGGAAGTAAGAATAAACTCGAAATACGATTCGATTGCATTGAGTCAGTAACATTTTCTATGGAGACTGTACTTTTGTACAGGATTCTAGAAAACGTATAAATGTACATTGTTAGACTTAAAAAGTTGTCAAAGGTCTGCGCTTTAAAGGCTACAAAATGACACCGATCACTGTCTTGTCGTCCCAGACTCTTCTGACCTACAGAGCTGTGCGCTGTGGCAGTATTTTATTAATGACTACCAAAAGAAATCTATCCCACCGGAATCGTACATTTTTCCGGGATAAAAAGTAGCCTATGTGTTATTCTGATGTACGAGCTATATTATTGTAAAGTTTTATTAAAGTCCATTCAGTAGTTTTTGCGTGAAAGAGCAACAAATATCCATAAATCCATACATCCTCACAAACTTTCGCATTTATAATATTAGTAGGATATTAGTTATCACTGAGGAAGTATTTTTAAAGTGCAATTCTTAAGAGGGTGAAAAAAGGTGGCAGATATTGTTTATAAAGCCAAATTTGTACTATAACACCTATTTTAGGATTTTTCAACATTAAACCCTTTAGCGGGCAAGTGGGCTATTGAATTTGAATTGGAAATTAGGTTTTTCGGGAAGTGCCATATTTAAAAAATAAATGTTACGGGATGACGCCGAGGCAAGATACTAGTACCACATACATAGTATTTAATGTGTCCATTTTCTCTAATATACATATGTATTAAAATAATCTTTGTAACATAAAAATATGTGGTAAGGAAAACAAATACAAACCTATCCCACGGGTACCGATACATGTTCCCGGGATAAAATATAATCTATCTCTGTGCCAAATTTCATCCAGATCCGTTCAGCCGTTCTGGCGTGAAAGAATAACAAACATCCATACTCACAAACTTTTACATTTATAATATTAATACGGATATACAAAAAATACAAAAGAAAAATCATATTTTTGTTCGTTCCTTAGGATTGTGGCATTTCTTACCTTACTTAAATGGAGTTTTAATTCGTTTTAATGTAATCCTTCCATGAGAAAATAAAAAAAATATATTATTACCTTACTTATCTCGAGCCTTAGGGAGATACAAAGGTCTATGTGCCATTTTGAACAGTGCTGGTTCTCATGAAATAGGAGCTCCTTAGGTGTACTTGCTTCCTGTCAGTCTATAGCAGCTAAGTTCTAATCAAGCTATCATCTAATACATCTAGTATGGCATATACACCTGGGCGGTGCTAAGGCAGATAGCTAGTATATTACGATTTTTATATTTTAACGAGTGAGACTGTTAGAAGCTCACCTTACAATTAACTAAGAGTTAAATTACAGCGGCTTGCTGAGGCCTTGCTCTGTTAATATGTAATTGCCTATACTATCTAATATCGATATATATATAAATATCTAATATATTTAACGGACAATGCTTGTATATATATATATATATATAGATCCATAATCTATGTAAATAGGAAAATGTTTTACATAGAGCAAAAGGTACCAACGTAAGTTGACGCTTTTGTGTAAAAATGGGAACATTAGACAATGTCATCGAACGGACGACAACGATTCAATCTGACGAATGCGAGAGATTTGCGAAAAGTTCACATTACCAGGACACCAGGATTTATAGGCGGTCGCACCTGACAAGTAACCGTGTGACGCTGGCGGCGGCCCTTGCGACCGATTGATTCAGAATGTCCCACACAAAGAGAGTTACGCTATAATCGGGCGCCGCATCTTTTCTAACTCATTTTTCTCGCTTGAGGCGAGGGTGGAGGGTGGTTTCATCAGGGGGGCGTCACGGTATTAGACAAGACACAAAAACGATGCCCGACGGAGAACTGAGCAAGTACAATTTCTGACGGTTTTTTGTTATAGGTTTTCGTTCCAACGATAATGTTTGTTGGAAATTATGAAGCGGGATGGTATTGAGCGAGCTTTTTGCTGCGTATAAGAATTTATTTTTGTATGTATAAAGGGAATAAGTTAAAGCGTGTTTCTTAGTACAGAGTTTAAGTTATAAAATTATATTTACGTGAGATTATATAAATGAGCCGCTTGTATTCAAGTGCATGGTATGCACTGCAATACTGCATTTTAGTTAAACATAGAAAATAAAATAAAAACGTTTATGAAATAACAAAATGTTTCAAAAACGCTTTGAGATCTATTTTATACAATACTAGTAGAACCACGCGATGCTGTGGCACACATATGAAAATCCTTAATTTAGCAACAACAAAACGAAATAATCGGGATAAAAACTATCCTGTCTTTTAAGTTGGAACAAATCACACATTTAAAAAAACCGTTAAGATTGGATAAGTGGTTTCGGAGTTCATCCCGGACCAACATCGTGATACGGGAATTTTATATATTGAGGTAACATATAAATATAATAAAATTTGCTATACAAGAGTTAAGTTATAGAGTTTACTTTATTTAGTTTAATCCTATAAAAAGCAGGTAGCAGTATGTAGATAGTATTTAAAAGTAATTATGACTAAAAGTATTCAGATACCATACAGTACTATGTTTTAGCAAAAAGAAAAACATCAAAGGTGTATTTTTGGTTTACCGGTTTTAATATATGAAAAGAGATATAAACACACATTTCATCATTTTAAATTGATTCATCACAAATATAACACTGGAAACGGTACATTAATCACAAACATTAAACCCTGAATCCAGAGTTTAGGTTCGACCTTTTCCACCGCGTTTCTCCCTAAGGGTCAGTCAGACCGTAAGAGGGTACGGTCCCTTCGACCCCCGAAAGTGCCTCCCCATCGCAGTGCGACTTGTAAGATTGATTGGGGCTCCTTCAGTCCATTGCTGCCCCCCTGCGGGATATTCGTCCCTCCTTCTTTTTTCTCGGATACTAAAGACAAGGTTTTATAGAGGCTAGATGGATTAGGCATCGAGTTACGATGTCTTGAATTATTTTACGTAACGTCTCAATATATTTTTTTTTATATAATTTATAATTTTATTTTACAAATCATACTTTCCTGCATAATACATAATTATCTCAAGTTATTAATAATTAATTATTGATAAGATATTACTTTTTATCAAAACTACATATAAGAAAATATTTAAATACAATAAGTGTACTTTAATATTAAAAATTAGGAATTGTATGATATATACAGCCAACATATTTCTTTCTGAAATAAAAATAAAAATGCTGAATTTGGTTTAATGATAAGAAAAGTTAATCTGCACTAAGCCACATCTAGCTACTGTATTTGCGGGACCACCCCCTTTTTTTCTCCTACAGGGGCTGTTAATAACACGACCGGCTATTTTATTCGTCGGCCGGCACTTGCGGCTCGTGCGACGGCTTTGATGTCAGAGATTAGAAGTTTGTTTAATTCTGGCTCAGTATGTTATTGTAGGTACAATTCGGACTTTTGATGTGCATTGTTCTAGCTTTCTCATAAAAATGCTCCTTTTGTAATAATCTTTGGATGTATTCTGTCTTTGTTTGCAATATACTAGTAATTAAATGTCTAGGACCTAAAGTTTTTTTTCGTTGCTATCGTTTTTCAATAAGTAAATATAATGAATATTGAAATTAGTAACTTTAAGACATATGCACATTACATATATACAGTTTCGATTATTGATGACTTTAAATAGTATTGAATAGGTTATCTAGATTATTTTCAAAATATACATAAGTCAAATAGAAATATTTACGTTATACGATCAATGTTACATACGATTACTATTAAAGTATACAAATATTTAGATACCTATGTAAATAATAACAATTGGCTTTAACAGTCTTACTTTATCATTAATGATGGTGTAGAGGCATGATATGTGTATTGTGCATGTTGAGACATAGATTCTATAAAGATTACGAGACTATTAACATTTGTGTTGATAACTATTTTTTATAGTTAAAATATTATGATTAAAATTAAATAGCCATCGAATATCAGTTTAGTGTAAGTATTATATAAAGTTCGAGAAGCAGCTGTTCTAAAATCTATGTTTAAAGAAAAGTTACCCATTATTTCATATACATACATACTTACTAAAAGAATATTACAGAAATTAAAGTGATAGTGATGTTACAGAAGCTTTAACCTTACTAATCTTTTAAAAACATAAAGATGTGTGTGGATATATTGAAATGTATAGGTAACATTTATATTATATATGATGTTCTGTTTGTTTATTATATCTATTATATTTCCCGTTGAAATATTCACACGAGCGAGGCCGAGTGCAACGGTTAGTAGTTAGACAAACTTGTTTTTTTTTCTATATTAGTTTCTCATGTCAACTATATTTAGATTTCCAATAGAATTGACGGATTTATTACAACTGAATGCATCGCACCCGACCTTGAACGGTGACATAATTAAGTTTTGTCCCCTTCAATCGATTTCGCTTTTCACTAACAAGGGGTCTGCACAGCCCCATGTCATATCTAGGGTTAGTTGTCCCTTAAACATGACTTATGATAATTCAATTGATTATGAAACCTATTTGTGAGAATTAGGGTTTAAAACAAGTTGTTCATTTAGATATTCTGAAGACGGTAATGATTTTATTATTTATTGCTACACGTGTTAAGGGATACTGTTTGGAATCCTGTAAATTGTTATTTGCTATAGTCTATTTATTTCATTGTCAAGTTCATTAAACGCAAATTATTTTTGGGGTTTTAGATGATAATTTTAGCGTTTTAAAATTTTTGTTTAGCATTCTAGCAGATATATTCACGTGCTTTTGTGAGGATAATATGTAATCTATACTAATATTATGGAAAGGGCTATGCTCGGGGTTTCCCTGCGAGATCGAATTAGAAATGAGGAGATACGCAGAAGGACCAAGGTCACTGACATAGCCCTCAGAATATCCAAGCTCAAGTGGCAGTGGGCGGGGCACATCGCTCGTAGAACGGACGGTCGTTGGGGACGGAAAGTTCTGGAGTGGCTGCAACGTACCAGAAAGCGAAGCGTGGGCAGGCCTCCCACAAGGTGGACCGATGACTTGTTCAAAGTTGCTGGAGTCCACTGGATGCGGATGGCGCTAGACCGGTTGTCGTGGAAATCTTTGGGGGAGGCCTATGTCCAGCAGTGGACGTGTTTGGGCTGAGACGACGACGGCGACGACGACTAATATTATAAATGCGAAAGTTTGTGAGGATGGACGGATGTCTGAACGTACAGATGTGTTGATGTTTGTTACTCTTTCACGCAAAAATTACTAAATGGATTTTAATGAAACCTTACAATAATATAGTTCATACATCAGAATAAAACATAGGCTACTTTTTATCGCGGAAAAATTTACGGTTCCCATGGGATAAATTGTTTGTTTTTTTAGAGGCGAATCCGAGCGAAGCGAGGGCGAGCCGCTAGTAATTAATTTAAAAGTTTGTTTTTTTACATCATTTGAATACGCTAATATCTAGAACTATCGATCCCAATTCAAAAAAACCTTTTTATTGAGAAAGAAAAGTTAAAGGCGCAATCTCACTTTTAGGAGCAGGTCTATATATATATATATATATATATATATATATATATATATATATATATATATATATATATAATATGCATAAAATGCGCGGGTGGAACCTCGGGCAAATGCTTATTAAAATATACTTAATATTTTTTAGTTTATATCAAATAAAATTTTAACAACCTACTGACAATAAAGCTAGTAAAGTTATTGTTTATCTATTATCAAGGTACTATAACTTTACTATAACTTTTTTATAAGGATGAGATTTTTTTTCTGCATACTTTGTTACGTTTAAAAGATTGCATGAAAATGCTAGGATACGTTTAATCTAAGGTTCGAGTGGATCTCGAACGCGCTGCCAACTTGCGACTAAATCGCAAAACATTACTTAAAGGTTAGCACACAATAGATTTATACAAAATTTTAATATATATATATATATATATATATATATATATATATATATATATATTCTTTATTGCACAAATAAATTATAAAAAACAAAATACATAGAAAGTGACGTGGACAAAGGTGGACTTATCTCTATAAGAGATCTCTTCCAGTCAACCCATGCATGTGGGAAATAGTGTTAAATAGCGGGACAGAAAGAGGAAGTGCAGATTTAATATATAATTTTAAAATCATAAAACTTCAGGTTTTCAATATTTTTCTTTCCCTTAAAAATAAACTAATTCTGATTGGTCTAATAATGAATATATAATGTAATAAAACAAACGTTATCAAAATAACAAAAAGCATGTGAAAATTATATTAATAGGGTGTGGATGTTTTGGCGTCACAAGACAAATAAGTCCAAAAAAATTTTTTTTTAAATGTAAGTATAAGTAGTATATATTTTTGACTTTTTAGAATTTTGATCTGTTTATATACATATTTCATTTATTATCTGTTGTTTTATGTTTGATTCCTTTTTAACTGAATGTTTGATAAAGAAATATGTTATACTATGTAGGTACTATACTTTAATCATTTGAAAATTGCAAAATAGGTATAATTTTATTCTCATCTCTACACATTCTATACATAAAATTGGGGCCATCTTTAGCGGCCATATGATAAATGCGAAGTTTTTTTTAAATACAAATTGTTTATGAGTCGATGTGTGACGTAGACTATTTTAATTACGAAATAGACTAAGCTATTAGGATATATTATTCAAAACCTTCCACATATTATGACATATGTATTCAACGGGAACTGTAGAAACCATTGAACAAAGAATTGAATTGAAAATGATGACAGCTCAGTTTGCCGCCGTTTTTACAATCCCACTTAGTAAGATATAAAAAAAAGGTTTTTAATGAAAGAGTATTTATTTAGAGTGTAGACCTAGCCTTCAAACCCGGGTGGATGCCAGCCCCCTTTACCCTGCTTACCGCTACCAGGCAAGCATAGCGTACTGAGAATTTTAACGGAATTAGTCGCGAGCCCGCCTGCAGGGCGCCACAGTAACTCACCGCGTACAACCTACCACAAAGCTAACTATATACACTGAAACAACTTACTTATATGTAGTACTTAAAAAAAATGAAAATTGCCTTAATTCAAAGTTTTTTTTAATTACAATATATAACGAAATAATACAATTCTAAACGGATTGTGTTTGATTAGATTACATACATATTATATATCATATATGGGATGCTATTGTGTGAGATATAGAAGAAATATTTTGAAGCAACTTGTGTTGTTCATTGTAAAGAAGGAGCCACCCACCTCCACACCTAGTTTTAGCGCCTAGTAACTCGCGAGGTGTCTACACGCAACGGAATTAACCAACCGAAAATAAGGATAACCGACTTTAAAGGAATGTGGGTACGGCATAAGACGTTATTGCGTACCATTATTTTAGATATATGAGAATTTTTTACTTCTTTATTCGCTTAGAAATTTAATTGTTACTATTTCTTAGTTTTTTTTGTTTTACTTAATTTCGGCACTTAATTTTTCTGATCTTTTATTAGGATTTAAAAAGGAGACCTTGAATATTTTGGACACATTAAATGTTTTAAATAAAAAGATATCTTATATTTTGTTTTATAAACAATTACATGTCATACGTGCAGAACCAGCATAATTCTTAAAAGAAATCACTTTTAAAGCATTAGAAAAACTTCGTGATTAGGTCGACATGTCACGAAGGGTGGGTGATTTTAGTTTAGTACCTACATTCATGGGTTATTTACTGCCTTTTGTAAGTAGCCCTCGTACTGACCTATTTAACATTTAAATAATTTAAAACTCTATTGTGATCAAAATAAAGTTGTTTCTTCTATATTCGTATGCTATGACGGATGTATGGATACTGGACGCATCCTCGCTTATGGTAAGGGTTGCGGTGTGTGTTTGTGTGTTAATAATAATATCAGAACTATTGAATTCTTGTA